TAAAGTCTAAACATCAAAAAGAAAGAAAATTTGTTGGTTCTTGCCTGAACTATTTTAAAAATTCAAATATAAAACGTAAAAATGTTAAAATAAATTTAACAAAAAAATGACCATCTATAATCAAATTATAAATTATATTTTTTATTTAAAATCGCATGATATAAAAATAAAATGTAATTTAATTTAATAGTGACAGGAAAATTAACAATTATAGCTCGACTCTGCATTAAAATCATAACCATAACCAAAATAATAACTATGTGCGTTCGAATAATCGTGCAATAACAATAAAAAAATATAAAAAAAATTTTAATAGTTTTTAGAACAAAAAAATTTAGAAAATTTTATTTTCTTAAAAAAATGGAATTCCGCCTCTTCCCTCGCTCCCTCAACAAGTGAAAACAAATTTTAATATTATAAATTTCATAATTGCGTTCTGTGAAGCTCAAGCAAAAAGAAAAATTCCATTTTCTTTTAACGAAATAAAGTAAATTTCCGTTCATTTCTTCAAAAATGATTTTTTCCTTTCACCTTTAATAAAAAAAATTTTTTTTGAATTTTCTTTTTTTACAAAAAATGTAAATATGGACGTCGAATAACAATGGTTCATAAATAGCATTAAAAATTTTCAAAAAGAATTCTAAAATGTTTTAAGTTTTTAATCTTCATTTCATAGTCTAATACAACAAGTCCTTTTTTTATTTAAATTTAAAAAAAAAAGTTTTAAAATTTTATAATCCTTGACATTAACCATATACGGATACATTCATACACACAAATAATAATTTTCAAAGTTCTGGTCATTAAAGGATACTGATGCAAAATATTTCTTGCCAATTTAAATGCTACGTTTAAAATATTCAAAGAATATTAAATAGAATATGAATATTTTAGAAATTATAATTTTATTATAAGTACGAAGTATTTTAGATCTTAAAAGTTCTTATACATTACTTAACACTCATATTATTTAATAAAGTTGGGTCAAACCAATGGTTTGTATTGTAGCACTTTTCCCTTCAACAAGTGAAAATTCTGCTTTTAAATACAGTCTATGTATACCTATCAAACTATTAAAATTATTTTCATTCATATACAAAACTATTTCTAGAATTGCATATATTTAGGATGACGCATATATGCAGTGTTTGAAATAAAGCGAAAATTAATATAAAAAGGAGTTAACATAATGCTCGATTTTAAGGGTTAATTGTGCGAGTTAAGAAAAATAATTATATTTTTTAATTTCATGGAATTTACCGTTAGCTTTTTGCGTTTATAAAAATTTGGAAAAGCTTGCGGTTTCGGAAATATAAGGTGTCAAAAATTCAAATTTTACAAACTTCAAGAAGCAATAACCTGAGAGGGGGTGGAGATGGAAAAAAATTTTCTTCTAGCGAAATGAACTATTTGTTAATATCTAAAGTTCCTAAAATTTCAAGCTTCTGCAGGTTGGGGTCTAGAAGAAAAACGACATCAAAAATTTGGAAAAAAAGGACTTTACATAACGGACTTTAGATACGTTTTGTTTTTCTATAGTTTATCTATAGTATACCGCGCTAGGGGAAGCAAGCCACTGCCTTTCTGCGTTTGCAAAATTTCAAAAATACTTATGGTTTCATAGCAATAAATAGTTAAAGAAAAGGTCATTTTTAGGGTTTTGGGCGGGTATAACTTCTAGAGGGGGGGGAGATAGGTAAAAATTTTGTTCTACAGAAATAAGTTTCTAGTAAGGATCTATGTACGTATTAAATTTCAGCTTTCTATCTTCAAGGGTTTGAAGTTTTGTAAACAAAAAAAGTGTCCACGGACGGACGGAAGGACAGAGTCAAACTAATAAGCATTTTTTTTAAAAAAATTTTTGGAAAAGTGTTAAAAAATAAGTAAAACTTTCTGGATAATATTCAAGAATTAAAAAAAGCAAAAATGAGAAAAACCAGGATTAACAGTGTCAACTTTATGATACCCAAACGAATGCTTACCAAAATTTATGTGGTAAAGGTTCACACATAGTTCCCATTAACATTTTAATTCAAGCGCAATTTGAGCGCTGCAAGCCTTTGAAATTTTGAAAGTAGTTTGGCAACATTCACAAGTATCTACGCATTCCATTACTTTCAAATAGACAAAATTTGAGTACGCAGTTAAGTTTTAGTTATATTGTTTCTAAAAATAACTTTAACAGGTCGTTTTCATATTTGAAATTCCAACTCTTTTCAGCAAAATTTTAATACTTTAGTCTTTATAGTTTCCAAGAATTTTTTAAAAAAATTATTAAGTTGTATGACAGCTATTGTAAGAAATTGTACAATCACACAACCAAATTTTATAAGAATATGCTTTACAGTTTTTAAAAAATTACTAAATTATTTTTGGAGTTTTCTGACAATTGACAACTCGAACTATCGTTCCAACCGGAAGCAAGTTAGATTTCGTGCCATAATTAGGTTAATAATTTGAGTGTTTTGCGATTTTGAGTTATCAGAACGAACAGAAAGCCCAAATGCCTAAATCGATCCGGAATCCAGTTCAGCTTGTCAAAATGTACTGATACAATTATTATGCGAACACGAATACTTTATAACTGCATCATACTTCAAAAAGAGACACAAATATAAATACAAATTTTGAATTCATGTACGTATAAAAAATATTTTCCACATTAAATTGAAAATCTCAATTTAATAGTAGTTTCAAAAAAAATTTAATATTTTTTTAAAAATTAATATATTTTTTTAAACTTACAAAAAAAAAAAAATTTTTTTTCAATAATAATGGTTGACCATCCAAAACAAAATTAAATTACAGTGAAGCACATACGAACATTGTAAAAATGAAATTCAAACAAGAAACAAATGGAATTTAAATAAGAAGAGAAAGAATAACAAGTTCTTTAATGTAAAAAATTTTATAATAAAGTCACCACTAGCACATTACACGTGCTTCAAATATTATTGAGAGGATTAAATAGAGTAAAAAAATATAATTTGAAGTGAGTATATGTGAGTATAACAATGAATGAGAAGAAAATTCAATTTGAAGAACACATTACTGACCACATTATTCTACTCATTTTATTTTATGTGAAAAATTCATAAAATAAAATGTGCAAATTTATGCCAATTAAAAATAAGTTTTTTTTTAAAATATTAAGACAGACTTATAAAATGTAAATTTCTTTTAAAAAAAAATATATAAAAATTTCATTCTTAGAGATTAGTTTTTAACAAAAGCAACAGCATTGAATTAATTAGGGAAGTAAACTCAGAAGCAGTTTTATTTCAAAAAAAAATTAAAACTGCTTTTTACCTTATAACCATGCCTACTATTAATGCAAAATGTCGCAAAAAAGAAATAAAATGGAAATAAGATATCAAAACTAGTTAACTCGTGTTTTTACGGCCGAACATTGTTGACCGGCCACGAGTAAAGTTGTGATGCGTTTTTTTCTCATTGCTGTTGTTTTCTCTGTTGACCACATAGTGCAATAGTTGATCAGTATAACACAAGCTGTTTCTCTCGCTTGTAAGATTCGCCAAATTTTATGTTGTAAAAAATATTTAATAATATAAAAAATTTAAAAAACCAATGATGGAACGTAATGAAGAATCTTTCAATGAACTACACGCGGATGTTTTATTTGATTGTCCGACTGATTATGAATCAAATTGTGATAACTGTGAAATTGATACTGTATCAGAAGAGAGCGACTCTGATATTAGGCCACCAAAATATCAAAAAAGAAATATAATAGCATCAGATAGTGACGATAATTTGGAAGAAGAGTTTAACGAACAAGATATTACACCATGATATTCGTATATAATACTGCTTATCATACAAAAAAATATTAAAAGTTAAATAATAAATAAAACTTATTTATATAAGTTTATTTTTAGTATTTTACTTCCACATCCAATTACGAAATAATAGCCGATGACATGAGATAAATTTGCAGTAAAATTACCGGTCAACAATGTGTTAAATTCTTTGACATTCTATAATTATCAAGGCTTGAAATATCTTATAATAAGATGGTATATTTAATTTGTATAACCATCTTTAATCATAGCCGTGGTAGCGTAATTTTTTCTAGGTCTAAACGTGAGCTTCCTCGTACACCATGCTCCCAATACTCACTGTGTATTACTTAAATTAAATATCAAACAAGTAAAATTGGCCTTATAACCACTCTTGTGAACTTCTTCGTGTATTGCGATCAAACATAGTTTACTGTGCAATATCTCAACAAAATTAGTGTTTACTAAGGGAAAAGTCAGTCAAACAAGCAAAACTAATACAAATGTTAGTTGAAATTTTGGGAATTTTGAATTTAGGAATTGTTTTAAGACCACAATATAATTAAATTACAAATTAATCACAAAATCAAATTAAAAATGTACTAAATTTATATGCAGTACAAGAATATTATAATATGTTTATGCAACGAGTCTCGGAACTATGATGGTTATGGATGAAAAACAGCATCTCCCATAATTTTACAAACATCTTTTAATACAATGGACTTAAGACATTTAAGAAATTAGAATAATTTACTTAGTTAACTAAAATCCTGTTAAATTTTATTAAATCTGGATTTTTAACTGTCTTTAATAAATTGAGATTTGAGATTTAAAAAATTATGACTTATTTAATACAAACAAAGATTCTTTTGCAAGAAATACGTTAAATCTTAATTTTTCAACTAAAATATTTTATTTTTTGACAAAATTTTGTTAAAATTTTATTTTTTATCTATTTATGAATTCTGCATAACCCATATATCTTAAATAAAACTTTTACAAATGACTTTCACTTAAATAAATTTTTGGTTTTTGATTTTAACTTCTCAAATAATATTGATCATATTAGTATGTACGAGTATTTATATGCAGAAACAAAAATTCCAACATTTCTAGTAGAAAATTTCACATTTTCATTATTTCCAAATCGTTACTTTAAACTTTCTTTACAAAATGAAGATTTATTCAAAAAATTATTCATGCTTTCTTTAATTCTTCTACTAAATATGACATATTCATTTCAAATGCACCTGATATTTGCATCATTTAATAAGAATACATAAGTATTACAACATATAAGAAGAAACAATAATAGAGATGACAAACAAAGAGAAGCAGGAACAAAGAATAAACAGCACGTTGAATTTTAAACTTTTATCCTTTTTACAAATAAAAAGCTTAAAATAGAATAAACAAGCAAAAGAAATAAGCAAAATGAAAAATAGGAAAAACTAAGCAATTTTTTTTTTAGCAAACAAGTGTCTCCTTTGTTTCCCATATTCACCTCAGTCTTCCTATATATGCTCTAAATTTTTTATTGATTTCCCATGTTTTTCTTGCTTTTTTTTTGTTAAGGAATTTTTATAAGAATTTTTTCCTGAAAACACAATATACAACATGTGTTTATTTAAATATGTGTGTGTGTGTATAAAACAAAAAAAAACTTAAAAATGTCCTTTTCTTGTGTTTATCGATATGTGTTTCAAGATTTTGTTTTGTAGATACAAATGCAGAAACATCCTTTAACTGCAATTAAAAAACATAAATAATAACTTGAAAACATGTGAGGTCAAAAAAAAAAAATAAGCAAAAAATGTTAAGGATAAAAGCACCTAAGAAATTTCTTTTGTTTTTTTATTCTTTATTTTTCTTATATGGTTTCCAGTAGGGCAAAGTATCTGCAGGAAAAGGATAATGTATACATTATAACTAAATCTAACAAAGAAAATTTATTTGTATTTTTTTCTTGTTTTTATTTACTTTTATATGTAGGACAAGATGGTTATCCTTTTTAAGTATAGTGTATTTTAAATGTGGTTTCATTTATGGTGTTTTACTACACTAGATTATACTTTGTATTTACTAGATACAATGTACATGTGGCTAAAAATAGTAAAAAAAATTCCACAAATATCCTTTTTTTCATATACAATAATAAAATACGGAATTTTAAATTAACATTATCTCATATTTATGCTGAATAAAACTATGAACACATGAATATTTGCATATGAGGTAGAGAGAGAAATTTGTAAAAATTCCTTTGAAAATCCTTAGATTAACATAGATTTGGAAACTCAAGTGTGAAAAGCAACAATAAATAAAGTAATTGTAAAAAATTAGGTCACTTAATTACCTACTTTGGTATTTAAAAAACGTTGTAGTCTAAAATATTCGTATAGATTATGAGAAAATTTACAAAAATTTCGACTAAATACAAGTTTTGTTTACAAATTAAATTGTCAAAATTTCAAAATTTCATCAAAAATTATAAAATATGCGTAAAATTCAAATATTTTGAATAATAATTCAAAATATTCTCAAATCCTTTTGATTAATCAAATTTACATGATTATTCAACACTCTCTAACGATTTCCAAAAAAAAATTTTGTTAATTTGAGTAACTGGGATTTTCATTAAATTCAATTGTTTTATAATATTATTCTACCCTCCCCGGGAAAACAAAAGATACAGCAAAAAAAAAATAAAACAAAAATTATTTCATTATAATTAGAACAAATTTAAAATAATTAAGGATTCACTCAACAAATAACCCAAAGGAACAAAAAAAAAAAAAAAACAACAATACAATAAATAAAACAAAATTTCTAATTGTATTCAAATAACCAGAAAAATATACAATTTCCCTTGACAAATTTTAACAAGAAAACAAGAATAACAAGAAAATTTTTTTCCAAATCTCATTTAAATTTCCTGTTTTTTTTTTATTTTTATTTTTCATACAAGATTTCCCATTCTATATTTATATTTTCTAACAAGATCAATGTCCTGGAAAATTCTCAATTCCACAATTTTTATATTATATACAATTATATATATATACAAGAAGAAATACAAAAATAAAATAAATTCTAAGGGAGGGTGGAAAAAAATTCAAATAAAAACAAAAGTCTTTTGTTTTGCTTATTATTTTGGCTTTTCAAAAAAAAAATTTATACAACTATTTGAGAACAGTAATTTAACGTTATAATAAACCTTATACAATCATAATAATACCAAATAATTTAACAAATCATGATTGTAATTTTTTCCTGAAAATTTTAAGCACCATTTAATAAAAACAATAACTTGGAAGCTGAAAAGAGGAAAGATAATTCTCTCAAAAAGACACAACTCATTTGGAAATTTCGGAAAATTCAAACAAATGTTAATTATACGTTTTTGAAAACGATTTCATTGTAAGTAAGTCTGTGTTTGAATTATTAATTGTATCTTGAAACGTGACTGATATTACAATGACAATTATGTAATTACAATAAAAATTCTAAATAACAAGTCGAAATATATAGGATATTACTAATGGCAAGAAAGTTTTAAATACCATATTTTGGGATTTGCAACTCGATGTCGAAAATGAATGAAAAATAAAAATCTAGAAGTAAAAAACTTAAAAAAGGAAAAGCAAGGAAATTGAAAATAATCAAATTTCAATATTTCTGAAGAAAATTTCAATATTACCAACAGTTTAAGAGACATAAGTGTTTAAAAAACACATAATGAAGACGTTTTCCTTCCAGAGTTCCCGTCACTAAAAATGATAGAAGTTTAAATATTATCACAGGCAAAGGTATCATAAGGTATTGATCAATTTCTGAAAACAAAATAAATCTAAACAACTCTCTCAAAAACTAATTTTGATCCAATAAAATTAATTTAAATTCAGCTCCTGCTGTATATACCTCTGCTATAAAGAACACTTATAACACATAATATACATTTCCATATATTATGCTAGAAATGTTATTGAAATAAGAACAACAATAAAAAATATGTCTTTCTTAATAAAGTCCCCAAATCTCAGAACACGAATATTAAATCTTATTACTTTCATAGCTTAATACAAAAATATTTCATACATGAAAGATACATGAATAAAATACAAGTTCTCATTCTCACACATCAATATATAAAATTATATATATACAGTACAAGAGATACTGTAAACCTTAATTTGAAGAAGGAGAGATGTATACAAGTATCATATTTAATAATGTTATACATATTACATATCTTAAGATCAATCCTAATCAGGAGAAAAATAAAATATCCTTATTACCTACATGTTGTGTTATACATAATATATGTACACCAAATATATATATGTAAAAATCTATACATAACAAAATATTATAATGACATTCTTTTGTTTCAGTCTTATTGCTATATTGCATATTAATATTAAATTACTATTATTATTTTCTGTGTATGCAATATTTCACTAAAACACTGACAAAATATATATATATTTTTTTAATAATTTATTATTATTTTATTACTTCCTATATTGGATTTTATTATACCAGCTCCACAATATTAAACTAATAATAAGAATAATGAGCAATAAATTACATACGTACATAAAAATTAATATCTTTATACATAAGGATGTATGTATGTATTTATATATTGTGTATTAAGTACTACTATTTATATTAATATTAAATTTTTTTAATTGTTTCTATTAAAGTTTCATGTTAATTTTCTTTAAAAATAATTTTTACAACAATATTGTGTAAATCGATCAAACAATATAAAGTTCAAAATAATCTTCTAATATTCTATAGCAATAAACGTAAACGAAATCGACGAAAAACAAAGCAATATGAAAAATATAAAACAAGGACAAGGAATTTTCCATTTATTTTTCTTAATTCTTCTTGATTTTACTACTGTGCTATATAATACTCAATGCTTTTATAAAAATTTACAAGTTTTCGTTAAAAATTTACATAACTAACAGTACATTAACCCGTTTTTGGTTGTACAGTATGTTACCAAACATAATATTAACGAGGCAGAATTTAAAAAGGACAATTTTCATATTAAAATAATCCTTTAGGGTTAGGGTTTATGAAAACTCCAAAAAAATTCGAAAATTCAATTTCTAGTTTTCTTAGCGATTATTTCATCAGATTCACAATAATTGTGTCCGTGTACAGGTAAAATACAAGTTTTTCCGTGTAAATATAGATTCACAAACTTTTCATGTGAAAATAAAAAAACCTTAAGGTAGTAAATTGAATTCAATTGTAAATAAATTGAAATCGGAGCATAAGCTTATAATACATTTTCAAACAACTCTATGAATTATTTATTAGTTTGAATAATTATGCTAATAACAACATTAAATTATTATAGTCATTATAATAATAATAGCAAATACAACATATGAAAGTCTCTTTTACACAATTTTTTGATTCTAATCTATAGTGTCACATTTTGCTTTTGCTGAATTTTTAAAGAGTAAATTTCAGAAAAAAAAATTTGTTGTAATTATTGGCCCACATAATTCAAATTTGATCATATTATAAGATAAAGTTAGAATTTATATACAAATCTCCAAGATCTTATAATCTTGAGTGCTTCATCTTACATTCCATATTCTCTTGATTTTAATTTAAATACACTAGAATATTTGTTTAAGTTTTTTCTTACATTGTTGCAAATCTCTTAAACTATGTTCAATTGATTTCGAAACGGAAAGAGACAACAATTATGTGCGTAAATAACTTAAGAGAAATAATTACAAATATTTTGAAGAGAAGCAAAACTGAAGAGCATTACATTTGTACTACCATACCACATATACAAAATTTCACATTTGTTAAGAATTAAAACCCTCATAATAAAAGTTTAAGCATATAATTTTAATAGGATTAAAAGCATATCAAAAAGAAAACATTCGTTTTAATTATTCCATATTATTTTTACTTAAGAGAATAATAGAAAAATCATTGCCTTTCTCTCATAGTAGTTGTTTGTCTCTTATTTAATAAAGAACCTAATTTTTTCCCCATTTATGTCAAATTTATTATATTAACCTTTCGCTTTCTTCTCTTTGTTTTTCTTTAATAATAAAATCGATTGATTTTTATTGCATAATTTTAGGAATTTTTTCTATATCTACTTTTATTTTATTTTGTTTATTTTAATTATATAAAATTAATAAATTAAGTCTAGGAGAAAAATTTAGAATTTAAGAAAAATAAAGAAAATTTTATAAGAATA